TACAGATCTCATATAAAATTGAAATATACTTTGACTACTTCCTATTCAGGTTTAAAAAATCCTAAATGATTCATCGAGATCATTATAGATCCCAGCTCAAAAGTTTGAAATGACTGATTTTAAATTTATATATAAAATATTAAATAGACCACTTAATTGATTGTCTGCTAAAAGTATCAATATAATCATGACTCCAACATAGTGATACTACTTAGCATATATATCTTTTATTCTAAATCATTTCCGATCATTACCATTTAACTTCATTTACTCATTATCCCTCCGACTGAAATCCTCGAAGTTTAATCCACAGCAATACTAATTCAATTAACTCAGTCTCAATCGAGTTTGCAAAGAGCTGAAAAGTCTTACTGCTTTAATACTTTTTTGTGTCTGTATCAGAAGAGCATTAAAGTTTATTGAAAGTTAATTTTAAGATTAGAAATAAAATATTCATGTTATGTAAATAAATATTAGAACTTTGAAAATTAAATAATAAATAACAATTAAATAAATCAATCATCCTTATAAAACTGTCTCTTCCATAGAAATACACTCAATATGACACGAATTATTGCTAGCTTGACATAGTTCTATCTTTAAAAGGAAGATTGATCAATTTTAATTATTCATTCATAGAATCACATTTTTTAGAAATTGAATACAATTTGTTGAGCTGAAAAATTATTCAACGAAGTGAGCTAAAAACAAGCCATGATTCGCTAGATGATTTATTGATGAATGTTGGATCCAATGATTCAGAAGAATTTTGAAGTGATTAATGATGAATATATCTTGGTAATGGTTGTAATTCAATATTATTTATACAATTAACTTATTGATAATGATAATAATTATTATTATAATTAATCTATAGATAGCACAGAAACTAAATAAATATAAATACATATATGGTACTGTAATGTACATGGAAAGGATTACATATAGAGTGAACCAACAATCGCTCGAGGGCATAACAAAATCCATTATCTATTTAATAATAAAACAATTTTACTATTTGCTATTATTATTCTGAAGTTGACAGGTTTTTCTTTCTTCATCATCTCCAGTTCTTTTGATTTTTTATTCAATTATCTCATGATATTCTACATCATGATGAAACATAGTCCAAGCTTCTTCATTCAAGATAATGTATTATTTATTTAAATAAATTGACTGAATAATAAAAATAATTATTATTTTATTATCGAATTGATTGTGAATTTGTTTAATTATGGAATAAAAAAATCTTTTATTCAGGTTTGTAAATTTAACTCTTTGAACTTAACTGTTACATTTTTGATAAAAATTTTGATTATGTGCTTGATGGATAACAAAAATAATTGTCTAACTTAATGAAGTAATTGAAGGAGTCTCTGTATCTCTGCTGGTAAAATCTGTCTGTACATAATGGAATAGATGCCAATCCTAATTGGCTAGACAATATTTTGATTGTCATATCTCTCTCATGAAGTGATATCTGTGAAGTAACTTAAAAATATCATCTTCAAACTAATTATTGACTAAGATTGACTAACTTTAAGGTTGTTTATTTATTTAAACGATAAAATTTACCTGTCAAAAGCATGTAGAAAAATAAAAGTAAAGTGCTTACACAGAGTGTGTGTCATGTGGGTTGAAGTGGTGATAGCTTTTTCAGTACGACAGACCGAGACGCGACGAATAATTCGTAAAGATTTAGTGGTGTTTCGTGAAGTGGTTAGTATGCATCCCATACGATCCAGAGGGGTTAAAGCGTATCACCATCTCCATCTTCTACTATCAACTCAAAAGAGTTGTCTCATGTGTAACTACAGTGTGAAAGCGATGATTTTTCCCACCAAAGTATATTTTTTAGTTTATTCATGTATATATGCATATTTTTTTCTCTCTCCTTCACTACTGTATATGCCCTTTTTTTTTAGTCATAAAATTTTATAGAAGTTCCCCATGAATTTCAAGTTTTTAAATATTTATCACTACCACTACTGACCAAAATAATTTATTTATTTCTGATGTAAATTCATCAGAGAATATTTATTCAATGCAAATATTTTGTTCAGCTAGACATAATCTGATAAATAATAGTATATTCATCATACAGAATTATTATTTTCAATTATCTTGAGTTATCAATAAAATCATTTTATTCAATCCATTAAAATATTTATTATTTATTTTTATTTGGAGAGCATGAAAAAACTATTTCAATTTAGAAACATAAATAAAGAAAAGTTTGTAAGCTTGTAATCAGAACTTAATGAGAGTAAAAAATACAATTTCTACCTCTGTAAACTGTTGCAATCAGGTTAATTATTTAGTAATAATTAATTACATAATTCGGGTATTTAATTTTCATTCATTAAGAGCATCAATATATTAGAACTTGCACGTAGGAGTTGTCAATCAAATAAGAGGCTATCATGAGCTCGAGATCTTACTTGGAGTTTCTTAGAATAAGATTATATCAACTTGAATTCATTTTTAGAATTGACTTCTTTCAATTAAATAAATGAATAAAAATAAATTTAAAGAAAGATTTATTTAAAAATTGAAAAATATATTCTTATTTTTGGTTAAATTAAGTTGAAGTTGTTTTAAATATTTATATTGAAATGAAATGAATGTCTGATTAATTTTAGTGAATTAATAAAGATTATAGATAAATTTAAAATCATAATCTTTGATAGTAGAAATTAATTTCATATGATTTTCTAGAATTTTTTGTGATGCACTTTTCAAATCTTGATATCTTTTCACCATCTCTTCCATTTCTTCGAGCTGCTCTTTTAGTCAGACAACAATAAAGGGCAGCATCCGGTGCAGTTCACCCACGGGACACTGGAGATGACGAAAAAGAGAAAACCTCAGTAAAGAACGACTCCATACCTCTTCAGCTTTCTCACTATCTTGGGAAAACCTCACGTTTTCCGACTCATTTTGAAAAATTTTTTTTTATTCTTATCTTTCTTTCTTTTTTTTTTCTCCTTCTTCTTTTCTATTTCTTTTGCTTACTGAGTCCTATATCAGGCCGCCTACTTTGACTCAAAGAGGTCGTGAAGTAGAAGCGGAAGAGTAAACCGCGTGAGAGAGCTATTCTATGCATTTTAAAAAGCGCTCAGAGCAAGTACGAATTACTAAGGATATACAGAATTGAAACAACAGCTCGTACGCAAGAAAATGTGGTCGCAAAATCATCCTCAAATAGAATCACTTGTGAGAGAAGGATTTTTTGCCATCTCACACACTTTCACTCTTTCTTTAATGTTATGCTTTTTCTTTCTCTCTTTTTTCACTGTCTTCATGACTACTTCATTACTTTGCATGATAATCGTAGAATAAAAATTTGTCATCGTCATACTAGTCTAAAGGACAAAAGTGAGAAAAAAAAGAAACATTTCTCGATAAATAAAATAAGAATTTCATTTTTTTAATTCTGAAGATGAATGAGATGGAAAAATATTTTTTAATAAATAATAAATTTATTATAAAAATAGCAAAAAGAAACTTGAATGAACAGAAATCATTTTTTTTTTTTATAAGAGTATTAAATTATTGAAAAGAGATATTTTTTGATAAAAATGATCACTAAATGTTGATAAAATATTTTAATTATTTAAGTGAAAAAATACTATGACTTTCTCGAGTATTTTGACTATTTATTTTTATTTTTATTCACCGAGGTCAAAGCAGGGGAGGGAAGAGGGGAAGAGAGGGGGAACCAGGCGAGGGAGGGGAAAGGCGAAGCAGGAAACAGAGGGAAAAGGGGCGCACAAAACGAAAGCGCCGGGAGGAGGGGGGAAGGCGGGAGAACAGAGACGAGCGGGAGAGACAGTCCGCAGAGGGGAGCGACAGAGAGAGAGGGCGGGGGGAGGACGAGAAAGCAGGGGGAGAACGGGTAGAACCCGGGAAAAGGAAACGCGGAGAAGCGAGCGGAGTGAAAGGCAAAGCAAGGCCGGGGACGACAAGAAGCGCGAAAAGAAGAAAGAAGGGGGAGAAAGAGCGGCAAAAGGGGGGAGCGAGAAGAAGGAGTGAGGGGCGAGAAAGAGGAGAAGAGGGGGGAAAGAGAACAGCAAAACAAGCGCGGAAGACACCAGAGGGGCCCAAGAGAAGGGGACACGCGCGCCCGCCGGCAGAACACCTAGCGGGAAGGACGGGCAGAAACCAGGGGAAGCCCACAGGGGGCGCGAGAGGGGGGACGGGGACGAGAGGGAGGAAGGGCGGGCCACGGCCACACGCGGGGCAGAAAAAAAGCAGAGGCAGAGGAGGGGGGGGGGGGAGGGAGGCGCAAACCAGAGGAGGAGGGGAAAAAAGGAAGGAGAGAGAGGGAAGACAGGGGGGCCCGGGAAGGAAAGAAGGAAAAGGCGCAGACGGAAGAAAAAAAGGAGGAGGGGGAGGGGACGCTCGTGCCGACAAAGAACAACAAAAAAAACCAGGGGAGTGAACGTTAAGCAGCAGTGAAGAATGGGGGCAGAAAGCCAGGACCGGGGGGGAAAAGAAGAAGGAGGGAAGAGGGGGAGCGGGGGACAAAAACAGCGTCCGCGTCCCCTGTGGTTTGCCTCCCCCGTACTTCGCCAGCTCCTAATCCTTAATGGTAAACACCAACTGGCGCCACAAAAGAGTAAATTGTGATCACTTCGTCGCCGTCTCCTACCAACCCCACGAGCAGCAGCATCGCTCTTTCAGCACCTTATTATGGATAGAACTGTTCCAAAGAAAGATTTTGCCCTCCAAGCCATCAGTTCTCCTGCTGCTAGTTTTGGCTTTTATTTCCGTCCTCCTCCTTTTTTCCCTCTTCGGGACGCCGCTTGCCGACGTCCTTTCTTATTTGCCGCATTCCACCCTTTAGCGTAGGAGAGAAGTATTTCTCTTGAATAAAATTTCACTTAGATCAACTAGGGTAGAAAATTTAACCCTTCATTGTATAAATTATTTAAAAGTATTCCATCTTAGTAATAATTTTAATTCATAAGTCTGACATGATTAATTTTTGTTTCCAGAGATAACATGACAACACTGCAGAAATTCCATCTACAAATATCAAGATCAGAACTTTATCCAAAAGACTCACCGATTGTTAATCAATTACTTGACGAAATGGCAACGAAGCCAATCCTTCATGTGTGTAAGTTCCTTTTTATGTCTCAAAATGAGCTTATTTAATCATCTTCTAGTGTAGGAGGTGAAATGTGTTCCATTCATCACATATAATATAACAAATTGTCAGATCCGGTGGTGAAGCTCATAAGTACATTAATTCATCTTTGTAACATGAAGGATACAACTCGTATAAAATATTATAGTCTTATAGCCTTATGTATGGATATATAGAGACTATATCCGTCCATTATAACACAAACATTCGAAACCCTCACAAGAATATTTGGATCGATAAACGCGTGACAAATTTATTGCCGGAATAGATCAGACACGCGATGGAAGTAAAAGACAATTTAAGTACATCCGTCGTATTCTCCCTTCCTGCATATTGTTTGATGTATCAACTCAATTAAATTCATCGAATTTATTTGAATAAATTCAATGAACATCAATCATGTTAAGCATAAACATTCAGAAGATACCAAATGAACAAAACTTTGAGTTACTTAAGTAAATGGAAGTCATTTTGCATCGTTTGTATATTAATATTATTATTATACAATTCCCCTTACTTTCGTTCAGTTATTCTGTCTTCTATATAAACCTTGTGTTTGCATTCTTCAGCGATATAAATTGTACACAAACTTCTGAATTATTCTCAAAAAGATGAATTCTTTTTTTTTTGTAGACTTGAAAATTTCAATAGAAATTATGTTATTCATTCATGAATTTAATTTTGTAGAACATTTTGAATTATGAAGAAAACCAGACTAACACATGTCAATTCTCATGATACTTAGTTGTCTCACTAATTAAGCCAAAACTGATTCAATTAAACTCATGTAACTATCATTTTTTAATTCCATTCTATTTTGTTCAACAAGATGTGATCAAATCTCATGGTATATTTTAAAAGTGAAGTAAATAATAAAATGTCTCGTTTCAATAGAAAACAATATTTTTAGTTTCATTTTATTTATTTACATGATCATTGATCAAGTTTTTTTTGTTAGAAACAAATATCATCATAAAATGTAATGGATGATGAAAAAATTTCATTTTATCTTTAAGAAGGTAAATGTCGTAGTAATTGATCAAATAAAATAGTTTTTTTTATTTGAAACAGTACTCTTTCTAGGACACATAAACTATAATAAGAATTTTTTTATGTAGCTGTTAAGCAAAAAAGTGCAACTCAAATATGACTCAATAAAATTTTACATCTAGGTTTTAGAACAAATTATTCAAAGTAAATATAGTTTTATCTTATTATTATTCATTGATTAAATATGAATTCTTTTATGATAATTTTCAAAGTTGGAAGACAAATAAAATACCTCCGATTGACCAGATTATTTGAAGAAAAAAGATAGTCAAGCTGATAAGTTGATGCATTCATATGCTATTAATGATGACTTGGCTATCGATTGATGCTCAATAATACTAGTGATGATTATTTTTATTTAAAGAGAAATAATTTCTAGAATTTATGTATCAAACTTGTCTAATAAAAAAAATGTTATTAATTTCAGCTCAAAAGGAAGGAGGAACCCAGTTGAAACTGGTGATAGACTACCCAGACGAGTTGCAAGCATTATTTAAGCCTATGAGGTAAGTAATATCGACAAAGTTAATCACCAATAAGCTATCCATTCAAAAGAGGTCAAAATAATTCATCTTTAGACTCCAAGATGAATCCCAAACAATGAATAAATAGTTGAGAGTTCTAATTTTAAACGTCTAACGTGAGATTGTAAGAGTAGAACAAGTCTTTTTATTCAAAGTTTAAAAAGAAACAAAAAGGAATATAGTTAGTCAATTTTGTTTCTGAAATTTAAAAACAATAGCGAATGTGACGTATCAATCACTTGTCTGAAGTAGTAATAATTGAGTGAATGGAGAAGAAGGTTGCAACTAATCAGGGACAATTGAAGTAGCTTTAGTTCTCGATCATTTCTCTCTTGCTCGTGCTCTTACAGCACGAGACATCTCTGGAGCATCCACTTATGTAATTGTCCTCGTAATCCCATCATACTCGAAGCACGATTCTGTTGAGAATGTTATACTATGTCTCCTGGGTCGTCAAATACGATTCTCACGAGACACGTGGACTGTGATTGTTATTATTATGCTCGCTTGTCATTAGTATGTAACTTATCGTTACATCAACATTTGCATGCATAATCAGAGTGATTTTTTTTGTTATTAACTTCTCAGTGTATAGGGTGGTTGGTATAGTTTTATGAAAATTATTTTTTTTTTCAAGTGTAAAATGGTAATTATTCTTTAGAACACTCAATACTTATGAAGGAGTTAACTCTGAGATGAAAAAAAACTAATGGTATATCCCCATATACTTGTAATTTATGATTAAAAAAAATTTATATTATTTCTGAAGAATAGTTGTAACTACTTGAGATCAAGATATTGAGATAAAATGGTGGAATTATTTTAATCATTACTTTTTTGCAGTAGATGTTGAAGCATTTTTTGCAGTATAGAAGAAGTATCATTAAATGAAAATTATTTTGAATAGTTTTGTATTTTAGCATAGACCTTAGATTGGGTAATGATTATTGTTGTTCTCAAATCCTTATATAATAATGATGCAAAATTTATTCAAAAATGTATGAGTCAATCTAATCACTTAAAAACCTCTAGAAAACTGTCTTTCAAATTCTCATCGATTATGAGATTGAATACATTAAGCTAATGCAATTGTGTCTACATATCAATCGTATGATTATATTCATTTTACTTAAATCAAGTCTATATTTTAGATAGAATTTATCAATATTTATCTTAAAGATATGCTGTTAAATGTCTTAATCTAATTTTTATAAATGATTCTTCAATAGACTTCTTTTGATTCATTAAGAATTAAGAGAAAAAAAGCATATTAAAGTTGTCTGCACATGTTTTTCAGGTCCACTATCAAATGTCTCATAAAAAGAAATGTTTGTCTACATGTTCTTGACTAACTTCTAAACCATTTGACTGATTTAGATGAAATTGTGCGTAGTTACTCTACTAAAAGACCCTACCGAACCTCCTCATCCTCCCTTAGTTTTTTTTATTCCAGTTTTTATTCTTTTTTTCTTTTTTCTGATTTCGCCCTCTTAAAACTTTGTCATAACTTATAAGTTTGTGTATTATTATATCAGCAAGTATTGCGTAATGAAGTATTCATGAGTAAGCATTTCAGTGTTATTGTTTGATTTTCATGCTTCGACAACTGCTTATGATCTCAAACTCAAACACTAGATATATGGAGTCCAATCAATGTCAAATAATTTCAGCTAATCAAGCTCAATTTCCTTTTCACTTTTAAAATTATTTTAAATTAATATTTCTTTTGATCACAAAGATTTTTTTTTTAAGTATTCTTTGTTTAAAAATTATTCGAATGAATTTTCAATGAGAACATTCCAGAGCTTGGGAGTTTGATTTCATCAATGATATCTTTATAATTAAATCGCAATAGGACTGCTTTTTATTAAAGTTCAAAGTCGAAAATCAATTTTTGGCTTTGATATTTGATCTTCTCTTTGACATATATTTTAAAACAATTGAAGAGAAATAAATAAAAATTAAAATCTATAAAAAGCTTTTTTAAAATTTTTATTATTATTCTTTGTCTTTCTAAAAATTCCTTTTGTTCCTAGATTAAAAATTCCTTCATAAACCTTGTTTGATTTATTAACTTTCTTTTTTTGAAATAAAATTTCTGCAATTTAGATTAAAATAAAATCATACATGAAATTAAATATTGCTAGCAAAATTTCTATCAAGTTAAATACTGACTTCGAAATTTCAACATAAATTAATTGGAAATTTCTAATTCAATATCTCTGAGTTTGTTCAAATCAACTGGAGTCAAGAAAATTCGGTTTTAACATGATAATTATTTTCGAAAGAGTTGTTCAATCATTCGAATAAGTACTAAAATAATAATTACTCAACACACATCCTTGAATGTTATACAGGAAATTTGTCAGGGGTTTGATCAATGATAAGTCGGACTCAATACTTCAATCCATTTACAAGTTTTCAAGAGAAATTTTTAAATAGATTATTATTATTATTTTTTTTTAATAGGTTAAAAAGAATTGATTAATTCAAAAAGCCTTAACGTGGAATGGATCATCAATCTTCCGTATTCCTAAGAAGCATTAGTATGAAAACAAAATAATAAATAAAAGCAAAGCAAATGTGGAGAAGATAAGAAAAACAAAATATCGCCAAGTCGTGTCGACAAGTTTAGATAGAAGTTAAAAAATGAAAATGTGGAAAAGAAGATGAAATTTTAGATTGACTGGCATGGAACGTAGAGTTTTAAGATGTCTGTTTATTGAGCAGTAGTAACAGCAACGTGCAGACGTGCGCATCGCCATCTGCTCTAGTCCATGAGTAGAGTTTGGAACTTCCCGGCCGCAGATTTTGAGATAAGTGGCAAAGCCACCAAATGGAGGCCAAGAGAAGACGGCTTAAACTCCGTAATAAGTTCGGCAATAAGTTGCTGAGGAAAAGTTTCTCGCGTATCTTGGGTCACATTTGAAATTACCCGCGTGCTGTATATAGTACCACTCGCGTAGCGCGTTCCCATTGCAACTTGCAATATTTCTCATTACATATAAAATTGGCCAGAGGGAAGTCTCACACTCTACAGTTGCATTTATATCGACCACAGACTTTACTGAGCTCTTAAATATTCAAACGCCGTAGGGAATCATTCAAATCTGTTCACTCTTCTTCTTCTCTTTTCTCTATTTCAACTTTTCTGACGATTTGCTGAAGAAAAAACTTAATGAATAAACATCTTGTTCATATTCTAATTTCAAAATAATTCTTGTGAGAAGTTGAGTTATTTTTTTCATTTTATTTCACTCCTTTTCAAAGAAATCGTTGCTTTTTTATTTAATTAAATACTATTATATTAAAAAGATGATATTATATAATGTAAAAGTAAACTTGAATTCAGCTGATACTCGAATCAACTGAAAATCATAAATTTCGAAGGAATATTGTATTTTTTGATCTTCCAATTGCTGAGTAAGTCGATCTCAAAATTTAATCAGTTCTAAGTGATGCTGAAATGCATTGGTGAAGGACTTAGTGATAATAATCAGTCAAACGGTTCAGAAGATATTGCCAACAAACTCCTCTAAATAGAGAAAACGAGTTATAAAGATAGGTAAAAAAAATTATATTTCAATTCTTGTTTAATAAAAATGCAGAAAACAATTGCAATTGTTAGTAATTAAAATAAAAAATTGTTTGAGTTTGACGCAATCTTACTGAAGGAAATATTCCGTACAGAAACTGTCATCTTGATTTGACTGAATATCAAGTCGTTAAAAGACAACAAGAGAAGACAAGCTAAAGCTAAAGTTTCGCAGAGAGCTCTTAGTACAACGCAACATTGTTGACTTCCTAGGGACGTCGTAATCTCTGAATTTTCGAGTTAGTGTTTCACAAAAGTACAGCATCACAAGGAAGATATACGAAAAGCAAAGAGTCAGAGAAAGTGCGAGAGTATAGGAGTCGATGAACCCCAAGGGGAAAGTTTCTTATACGCGTTATGTGGTGGTACCATCTTACCCTACTGATTTTTCTACCAAACTTTTACGCGTTAAGAAAAGTTCGTTTCCAACTCCCCCAAGACCACGTCATTGTGTTCAAGTATTTGTGATAACTGCATGGCTATCCTCATAACTACACAACTAAACCAAGGCTCAGCCATAAGTCCAACAAATGCACGACTAAACGGCTATCAAAAGTCTTTTTCTATCGGAAACTAAACAAAATTTAATCTCTAAGGGTGATTTTATTTATCCTCAAAATAATCTCTAATGCTGATATGTTTTTATTGTAACAAGAAAAAGTTTCTTGTTCAAAAAAACTTATCATACTTGATAATTAAATAGTCATAGTAATGTCTTGATGACGTATTTTTATTATGCACAGTAAAAATTTACACGTAGACAATTTCATCTAGTCACTGAAAGTAATTCTTTTTTGCTCTTCCTCTGAGACTAATTAATTCTTCTTGGCGATGTAATTAGTATAGGATTTGCATCTGATTAAAAGTCAACGGTGGACGCGTTTCGTAACAAGAAGGATTTGACTTTTACAGAGAGAATTTTCACTTTGTTATCACCTCATCTCATTTGATTCTCTTACTATTTTATCACCATTCGTTGAATATGTGCTTTACAATATAACTTCTCTCATAATTACATTTGATAAATATTCAGAAAATTTCTCCAACTATTTATTTATTCAACTCTAAATGGTAATGTTTGAAATAAATTCATAAATGATCTTATTTTAATTAAATTCATCATATCTTGGAAACATTATGCATTTTAGAAATAAGTCAATCTTTGCCAAGTCTAAAATTGATTTCCATCATTTAATTTTTTTGTTTCTAAATAAATATTTTACAAAAGTTACTTTTAACTGATTATTAATTTTGAATTGCAGGTTTCCAAGAGAGCAACAAACTCTGCCGAATCATTTTTATTTCACGGACTTTGAGAGACATGTTGCTGAGATTGCAACGTTTCATTTAGACAAGTAAGTAATTTATCAAAAGAATCACTATCAAAGGAATAATTTGAGAAGAATAATCTAAAGAAATTAATACAATAAAATATATAATACGATGATAAATGAATGAATAACAGAGTTTAAGAATAAACTATTGTCTTTTCAAGGCTCTTGGATTTTCGACGAGCAATGCCAGTGACTGGACGAACATTGAATATGACATCAGAGATATATCAGTTAGCTGAAGGTGATTTACTCAAGACATTTTTCGTCAGTCCTGTTGGAAATACGTGCTTCCATGGTCGATGTAGTTATTATTGCGATACTAGTCATGCAATTTGTGGCAATCCTAATACATTAGAGGGAAGTTTCGCTGCATTTTTACCAAAGAAAGAACTTACTGGAAGAAAAATATGGCGACATCCTTGGAGACGAAGTTATCACAAGCGAAAAAAAGCCCAATGGGAGACTGGTAATACTTTTTTTTATTTTTAATTGAAGATACTTCTGATGCATGAAATATTATAAATCTTTAGAAATTATATCAGTTTAATATTTTGTCCAAATTTCATTTTCAATGCTGAAATATTATAAATAATTTTAAGATGCTATATAAAACAAATTAGAAACAAAATTATTATCAACTGCAATTTATACAATTGGCTCAATTCTAATATTCAATTATTAAGAATTTTTTCTATTCAAAAACCTACTTGATTTTACTTCATTAGAATGATTACGATTATTAATTATTTATAATTTAATTTTAGATTCGGATTACTGCAATCAAATAAAAAAAATTCCGCCCTACAATGAAGGCCGAAGACTTCTAGATATAATAGATATGGCAGTTTTAGATTTTTTAACTGGAAACATGGACCGACATCACTATGAAACCTTTAAAATATTTGGAAATGACACATTCACTCTACATCTAGATCATGGACGTGGATTTGGAAGACCTTTCCATGACGAAAAATCAATTCTCGCACCACTACTTCAATGTTGCATGATACGACGGAGTACTCTTAAAACTCTCTTGTCGTAAGTATAATTTTGCAGTAGAGGAATATAAAAATAAAACTCACCGAAATGTTGACATTTCACTGATAGAATCCCACTGGTAAAAGCTTAGTTCGTTAAGTTTATCATAGCCAAAGGGTAAATTTTCCTTTTTTTCAATCTCACCACATCAAAAGCTTTTTCCTTCTTCTTTACTCACTTATTTCATTATCTTTCTTGACCTAAAAATTTTCCATTCAGTTTAATTATATAATTTTTATCTTATTAAAAAGGTCTAGCTATAAATAGAAAAAAACATCAAATAAGAAAGTTGATGCTAAATTTATATCATTTTTAATTTTGTTTAGAATAAAAAAAATAGTAAAAATAATCAATTTTCCTTAAATTTTATAATTGATAGTTTATTTTTCAAAAGCCAATTCAAATAAATTAATATTTAAAAAAAAAATGAAATAATTCTTTATATCAAGTAAAGATTCACTAACGGAAATCGTTCTTTATTCTCAAAATATAACCTTTGACTCTGCAAGTCGGGCGTAAAACCACTCTCTAGGGTAAGCTTCATAGGAAGGCGTACCAGGTGTCATGGCATCGATAATGGACCGTTTTCGCGTTTCCAATTGGCTTTTCTCAGTAATGCAGAGGGAAAAGAGTGTAACCCTAGGGGTTGTTCTCTCTCAAATCGACGTATCAAGTACCAAGTGAAGGTAGACAGAGTAAATTGAAGTGAACGCATTTTACGCTCACTATCATCCTCTCTTCTTCTTTATTCTCTCAACTTGGTCTCAGTGCTTCTCTCAGTGCTCTTGTGATCTTACCATTCTGTCCGCGTAAGTGTAGATCCGAGTTTTCTCGTGCTTGAGTAGCCAGCTCGAGGTGAGAGTAGCCAAACCTGTCTTCTCTGAGTCTTTTCTGATGTCAATTTGCTCCTGATATTTGTATATTCTTCTTCACTTGATGTCTCTTCAAGTCAATACTTTATTCATTGATAGTACTAAATCTTGGTTTTTTCACTCTTCACTGAATTATTCAACATTGGAATTAAATAGCCGATATTTAATTTTAATGATAATTTCAAGTAATCTGATCAATTTTTATATAAAACATCAAGTGTTCTAGTTTCAGTATTTAAAACACTTTATAGATTTCGAATAATTGATAAAAAATTGAACAAGATCTTTTTAAAATGAGATAAAAAACACATGACATAATTTAATATACCCAACTAACTTTTTTTAGAATGAAAGATATTAATCATAAAAATGAATCTTAATAAATAATTCTACTCAGGTCGAATAATTATTTAGGCATAAATAGTTATTTTTAACTCATATACTTTTTAAACAATATAATATTTTGATATTTTAATTAATCTCTTTCATATTTACTCAACAAATTAATTCTTTTATAAATATAAAAATTAAATTATTTACTTGCAATATGTTTATGTACAATTTATTAATGAACAGACACTATGAAGAGTTAATCATGCTTCTTATCGATTAGCTGATGCACATATTGAGCCGATGAATATTTGGTATTATCAGTGATATAATTATTTGATCGGTAGAATGTGAATGTTCATGTTTATTCACATACATCATTCATTGGACTAATTAATTGTGCCGTCAGTATCTCTTGATAGTTGATAGGTAGAGACTAATAGTTTTGTCAACTCACCTGTCTCACTGGTTATGCTGTGTTCGCAGGTATCACAACAGTCCTCAACGCCTCAGTGCCGTGATGCGTCAGAGCATGGCAAAGGACCCCGTAGCGCCTGTCTTGTGGGAGCCTCACCTGACTGCACTTGATAGACGTGTCGGTCTTGTTCTCCAAGCCATTCGAGAATGTTTGAATCGAAGCATTCACTATGAACAAGTGATTCAAGAGCAAGAAGAGATAAGTGGAGAACAAAGATAAAAAATATGTGATCAACTATTAATGAGAGGAAAAATATAGATGAAATATTGGACATCTATTTCTGTTGACAATTTTTTCATTGATGAAAATCATTGAAAAAATGGAGAAAATAGTATAAAAGGTGAAATATTAATTTCAATCAAAAATTTATGTCAATGATATTTTAAATTATTTAAAAATTGAATCAATTATGAATTATATTAGTACATGTTAATTATTTGGAATTATGTATAGGTTGACCCGTTTACCTCTAGCAGTACAGTCTTTTGTCTTGTAATAGATCGTTCCAAGTCTGATTAAAATGTTAGACAGTGCAAGACTTAGCAGATTTCAGTTGATCTATCAGCATAAAAAATTGCTCTTCTGCAGAAGTTCATAAAAAGTTCTAAAAAAATATGAAATCTTTTTTAAATGCAAATTTAAAATTCTCATATTAATTACATGAACTCTTTATATAACTGCTTACATTTGTCTTTGTTTTACATTTTTTTTTATTTCAATTTTTACATCAATATTTAACTACATTTTTAACTCATTTTCAACTCTCAATAATTTAATCTAAAAATAGAACAATTTTCCAACATCAAGAAGATTGGTTCATTAAAAATATCCAATAGAAAAATTTTTTACATTTTATAATTTTTTTCTCACAAGTTTTTCCTCTCAATGTATGCATCACTGCATACAACACTGGTGTGATATAGGGGTTTAATTAAATGGTTTGTGAGAAACCCATACAAATTATTTGATAATTCGTCAGCAGAGTATTAAATATATAATTAATGTTCTTCAATGAGATGCTACTTAATGACGTTTTATCGATTTAATAACGATATTCTTGTAATTATTTGTAAATTATGTATAAAAAGAATCCTTTTTCCATGAGCTGTTGAATATAAACAACGGATGTATATTTTTTTCTTACATAAAATAAGATATGTAAAAAATGTTGTGGAGGATTTTAGTATTACAAAACTTATAAATAATTCGTTATTTTGTTATTGTTATTTAATTAATTAATATACCTTAATTGATATCAATATATTATTTCATTTCAATAATAATTAGTACTAATTTCTAATACTTTTACACATTATTTTAATTAAAAAATTGATTAATAGTTCAGTTAAAAATATTTTTTTTCAAATTTACTTTTTATGAAAGATATGATTAACATTGTAATCCAAAACTATATTATATTTAATTTGTGTGCAATATATTTGATTATGTGTAATATTAATATTCATATTACGTATTATATTCAATTTATTAGTTATTTTTTTTTAAGTCTAGAAAATTATTTAAAACTTGTAGACTGCAAATTTTTTTTAAATGTAATTAATTAATAAATTTTAGTTTATTACTGTGTGATAGCTATATGTTAGACATTGAAAGGGGCTTTCGAATGTCATATATGTGTATAAAAAGTAAATAAAAGAAAATAATATATTAGTGTACGTTAAATTGAAATGATAAATAATAAACTTGAATAATAGACAATGTACTTTATATAAAAATAGCCAGTATATAAAATCCATACAACATATGATACTGTCCATTTTCCCGATGCAATGCTGTCAGAAAATATGGATTAAAATTATTTTTTGAAGCATGTAAATACATATACTGTGTGCAATTCTTATACCCAATCAATAAAATTTTGAATAAAACAATTTAAATTAAAGTTTAATTTAATGGTGATGATCTCCTTAATTGAATATTGATTAAAATAACTTATTTTAAACGAATTTAACTATTATTTTTTTTTAACAGAAAAGTTCATGCTGCTAAAAATTTAATAGCAGCATGACCCAGAATTAAGGTTTCATTTATTCGTATCTGATCTTTTTTCGCAAATATTCAAAATATTGATTATAAATTTTAAATTAAAATTCAATCAAATAAAATTACTTGTTTTTGAAAAAAAAAAGTTTGAAAAAATTGATTTTAATTTTCTTCATAAAAAATATAATATTAATAATTATTTTTACTAAATTTAACTGAATTAATATTAACTTTCAGTTTTGAATGAACTCAATTATTAGTATACTCTAAATTATTAGTAAAATTTGATGGAGACATTAAAGTGTTAGATAATGTCTGAAGGTAAGGACTATAATTTCCAACTTCAATAAGTCACTATAAACAGCGTAACGCAATCTAGGTCCTGTGGTATAACCGACGATTAATTACAGTGCTTGTTTGCTTATGACATTATATGTCTCAAGCAGACCAACACAAGTTTCCTAACGTCTAAATGTTTGAACGTAACCATCTGGTTTTGTCATATGACGTATATATAATTGACAAATTTAAAAAGATGATTAAAATGATCAGAAGAATGCTTCTTAAGTCTTTCTATTCATAATAAAATGATTTTATATGGTATCTAAAAATTATTAAAATATAACATACCAATTGATTCTTAAGTAACTGTTTCTGCTCATCAATATTCTGCATAGCTCCATGAGATCAGTAATATAATAGAAACTTCCGTTACTGTAATCAAAATAGCAAAAGGTTATTCTAAAAATAATAAATTATGGAATATTATATTTTTAATGTAAATAAAGCTATGTTTACTACAATTTACGTCATAACAAAAAATATAAAAAGATTTTGAATTATATTACACATATTTTTATAAAATTATTAAGAAGAAAAATAATTAAAAATATTTTTATTTCTTGAAAATATTGAAAATGGGTACAAATGATCCTTGAAAAGCACGAAGAGAGAAATAGAATATTTTCTCATCCAAATATTCTCTAGATACAAATATAAATCCTGTGATTTTTCGCATTGATATATCAGAGCCAAGAAGCACTGAACGTGAAATAAAAATTTATTCTTAAAAAAAATGACACGTCTAATAAATCTACAGTATAAAATGGTCACACTAAAATGTGGGATTTGTTTACGAAGCTGCAAGTTCGTTGTTGGAGCAAAAATAAGAGCAAAATGGGCCGAATAACACAAGGGGTATGGAAGGGAAAACGTGTGGGTTGGAAAGTTTCTCGTTCAATGTTCTTCACTAACACATCACACTCTCACTTGAATCACCTCGATTCTTCCTCGACAACGCCTTTGTTGACTTTGTAGACAACGAATAAAATTATTGTTATTTTTACGATACTTTCGTAGCATTACACAAACCCTATATTATCAGAAGGACATGATGGACTCAGCTTCTACCTATTCAATTCCATCATCCAATGTCAAGTACATTCCAAATTTTTTTTCCAATGATTTAATGAGACGTATTTCATCCAAATTAATTGACTATCTGATTTTAGGACTTCCCAGTGTTAAATTACTCATTTGTAGACATACAAATGATTGTATTTCTTCAATAAAGTGTTAGAGTAGATAATATAATTTTTATCCATGCAAAATTCTAATACTTATGCTTATTTGTTGTAAGTGGCAAAAGTTTCTACGCATATAAGATATAGAATAAAGTTTATTTCATGTATGCAGATGTACATTTGTATGACGACTTTACCTGAGTAATATTAAACACGAAGATGCACGTGCTTGCTTGGAATAATATTAATATTTTGAATAAAGTTGGCATTATTGTTATCTATAAAATAATCATGATTAATTGTGAATGTAAGTATATATTATAGTGCATAAAATGATCAGATAATCATAGAGGTAAGTGAAATAAGAATAGATTAATTTTGTTACGTGAATAAAATACTTGAAAAATGATTATAGACGGTATGGTCACGTTTTCTCAACTCCAAACATCATAGCTAACGTACAAGTGTTTGATTTTCCAATTGAGAACAGTTGAACGTTTTTCAAACGTTAGAAGAAGTATATAAAAAAAATATAGATGAAGAATAAGAGTAAAAAAATATAGATATGATGAAGTCTATTGGTGTGAGTGATGTGTTTTCTCAGGGAAGTGAACATCAGCACAGGGATCTTTATATTCGTTTTTTTAAAGGGTGTGTCAAGCTGGAAAATTGCTGGACAAATTGAATTTTAAACTCAAGAAGAATCGTGTGAATCGATTTTCGGACACCCAATAAATGCAAACTCTATTTTCATGTTTGTTTTTATATTTTTTAAAAAAATATAAGAAGTTTCTATTATTAAATTTTATGTTATTTATTTAGGAAAAAGAACAACAAACCAATAAAAAAAATTGGATGAAAAAATTCACCTTTAAACTAATATTCGTACATGTATGAAAATTCTTTTGTCTTTTTGAATTGATTTTTATTTAGCGAAACTCATTATTAAAAAAATTTCGCTTCAAAACGAAATAGTTATTTAGAATAGGAATTATCAAAATAATAAATTTTTTGAAATATTGAAAATTGTTTTTAAACAATTTAATTAAAGTTTTTTTATTCAAATATATAAGTTTTTTTTTTTACTGTTTGGAATAAAAACCTTGAGAGCAATGTATGCACTTGCATTAATGAAATGTAGGAAAGCTCAGGTTAAAATGGATCCATTGTGCTAAAATAATATTTTGCTTTCTTCTATCCCGTGAAATTAATTTAAAGTAGCGATAACACAAATTTTAAATATTTATAACTGAAATTACCACTTGATGAATGACTACTTTGTTCAATAATGATTGTCAAAGAATCAACAACTCAGATTTTTTCTGGTAATAACGCTCATAGCTATAATGCATTAACTAAAAAAATCTCATAATGAAAATTCGATAAACTTTTTCTAAATATCTAAAATAAAAGACTAGAAAATAATAATGATAAAGAACCTTATACTTTACTGATAAAAATAACATTTGATCAAGAAAAATTTGCTTTTCTCTTTTTTGCCAAGCTTGAATTGCATTTCCATTTGAATTGATTCCCCTCATCTTTACGTGATGTCCATTGATATAAGATGAAATGTATTCATCGATGAAAATAACTTCCTCAGTTCACTATCAGAACATCAGCCTACGATAGTCTACTGACTTCTGATTCGTGTTAGAATATCGAAGATTTCGATAGAATGCTTTTCAAAGGAATATTTACATAATCGTACATTCACTTGGTGTAAGACGTGACGTGATAGCTTTGAAGTTTAGGAGATAACAAAAAATTCGTCACACAATTTTTTCAAAATTTTTGAAAATATATCTTCTTTTCAATCCATCACACTCTTCAGTTAAAATATAATAAATATTTTCTTTTAAAAAAAACCGTCGATTATTCAATTGATCACTTAGGTCTCATTGATAGATTTGAGCCTGAAACAACAATAATGGTCGGAATTTTTAAAAATGATAACATATTTTTTTTAGCAATTTATTTAATAGTTATCTAAACAACACAAGCATTACTCTATTGTTAATATTTAAAAATATTATTACAATGTCTATTATTAACGTGTGCTGCTTGGTATGGAGTAAAGGGATAATAAATTAATTAATATCAATTTGATATTTATGAGAATAATATATAAATAGCAGAGCAATGAAACTAATGAACATATATGCTAACAAAAATCAATATTTAATTAAAAATTGATTAAGTATTATTATTAATAGATAAGCGACATAAAAAATTGAAAAATTTCAAAATTGAAACCGTTAATAATTCAGTTGATCAACCAATATCAACGAAATGCTTTGAACTACTGATGTATTTATTTCAAAATATCCCTAACCTAATTATGTTAACAATTTTATGACAGAAAAAAAATAATTATAATTAGTTACATAAAACATCATCTTGCCAATAATAATCACGCTTAATACAAATGTCTTTTTTTAAAGTATGTCATTAAATATCATTTTTTTTTATTTACAAAAATTAGATAAATACATCAACGACCAACACAATTTATATTTTGATTCATAATGTATATACTTAACTGTAGCATGCTCCATTGTTGACCGTAAATTTATTATATTCGAATGTTCGTGCACGAGCATGCATCAAAGCTGGTAATGAACAATGGTGAAGATGCTGGTCCAAAACTTGATATTTTAATGCGTAGCACACTAGTATAGCATAGTAAAGTAGTGACACGTATAAATACGTAAATTTTTATTTACTTCTACAATTTATTGATAAACAAGTAATTGTATATAATTGAGACGGTTGAAAACGTAAACAGTTTCGATAAAAATCATCAAGTTGAATATTAATTATTCTGAGTTAAAAGAAAAAATAATTTCCTATAAGTAGAAACTTATATTTACATGCATCCAAATTGATACATTATTCAAAACATGAAGTACTATATCCTCTTATGTTTTTTGACATTCTTTTTTATTAATTCCACAAATGTATGTATTCTAAAATATAATATCTACAACTCATTTTGTCAACAATTTAACTCTATTCATCGTTTAATTTTAGAGCAGATTGTTAAACTGTTATGATGGATCTAAATTTTGGTGTTCAAATATTAAAAATGCTAAAGCATGTCAGGTATGATCTTAATCTTTTTATTATTATCTTTATAACAATTACATATGATAATGATTAAGAGAATTTTTTTTTTCAGAGATTAAAGGAATGTCCTAACTTATGGAGAAAGGAATTACATGATTCTGTTATCATTGAAAAAATAACCACAGAAGCACCACCAAGACTCTTTCTGATTGTACGACATCATAAAACTAATAGAGAACCAGTATAAGAGATTTTTATCTTATACTCTATTATTATTTATTGTTTATTTAAATTTAAACTAAATTATTTGTGCACATACATACTTTTTAAATGATCTCTAAAGCTGTAAAATATGTCATAATAACATAATTAACTCTTTATCATAATGTATTTGATGGTACTTCAGCTAAGCTAGTAATAAAAATAAAATATTGTGCTCAAATAATTAAGATTAGAATAATAGTAAATAATTGAGTTTTCATGTATACGAATAATTACATATAAAAACATCTTTGACAAATCTTTCTTTATAATTAATTGATTTTTTTGATAAAAATAATACAAAGTTTTGATTGGTAATATTTTGTTAAGAAGTTTGAATGATTAATATACAGTTCAAACTCATAACTATTAGAATTGAAGCTCAATTTATCATAGAGAAACCTTTCAACTATCTTGAGAATAACGAGAAGCATACATATTTTTGTTAATGCGAAAATCTTTATCACTTAATACAGATATTCATGTACATATGTTTATGTTTCATGATTACATGGTGTTCTAGTTTAAACGTTGTCGGCCATTAATAGTTTCATACTTTAATGTAGCAGTAACTTTCATCGAGCATTGTCGAGAATCGAATTGAAAACTTCTAATGGGAACTTTGAATAAAATAATTCTCTTCGCTGAAAATAAATTGAATTTATTAAGTGAAAATAAATTCTTAATCCAAAGAGGTTATATATATTGATAATATTTAAATTACACCAGAATAAATGTATCGTTAATTAAAATAACTTATTTGGAGCATTCAGAACAATTAGCATCAACATAATATGAATTTGATATTTTCAAAATTTACCCGCTGAGGTGGAATAATTCGGTCATATTGTAGACGGCAGCACTGTATTTTGGGGTGTGGGGACCTCCATTCTCTGATGCAGTTCAAAAGCAATCTTCGAATGTTCATGTCATTTATTTGACAAATGAATTTATTTTTGATAGTCGGCATGTTCGTGCAAATAATTTCACTCAAAATAATGATAAAGATCAACAAGATTTCAATATTGAAAATTATGATGATGCAAGTTTGATCAATATATTAGCTGATCAAAAATTTAATCAGTCAATACGAAGAACCGAATCGGAGATCGTAATTAAAGTGAATGAAACAACTCCAGCTTTTTCCAATAATAAAAATAAAGTAGTTTAGAGTTCGACAAGAGGCGGTATTTCAGACGTGACAATAACAAATAGCTTTATCGATAAAATAATTTCCAAGTACAATGAAATTGAGAGTATTGCATCCAATGCAAAAATATCTTGGGTATAACTGAAAATATTCTGAAAGAAAATTTTTGTGTTTTGAAAAAAAATAAATAAAACAATCTTACTTCGTAACTACACAAATTCATTGCGTACCTAATAATTATATTTTATCACAGGTTTACAATTTATACAATTTCGTCTAAGTAGTATAATTATAAACTTTTCTCTTTAATATTTTTTTTATCCTATCATTCTATTATTTTTTTTTAAATAATAAATATTACAATACTCATGAAGTAATACTATTCATCCAATATTATTTTTTTGACGTAATTAATACTCTTTTAAATGTTAAATAAATTGAATTTCAACGAACTAAGTAACAATAAATGGTTTGTTTAATAAATAAGTTGATTTAAATTAATCTCTTAATAAATATTTTGTCTTACTGTATATTAATTTTAATTCTATCTCGTATATTTTTCTAATGAAATGTCGATATTATGTAGCCTGCAAACATTTTTAATATTTACATAATTGACTAATAAAGATGCTAGATCTAATATTATAGGCTTAATAATTAGCACTGTGATGTCTAATATCTTCACTACTATGTAAAGTAGTACATATTTCTAAATATATAAGTATAATATGTATATGTAAATGTTTTAAAAAATATCAGATTTTTATTTAATACAATCATTTTCTATTGTAAAATATATATAATTTAAATTCGTGTTTTTGTACCATCTCTCAAATAATTGTATATAACTTGTTCTTATGTTCATAAGTAGAGTACGTGTTTCTGATAATAAATTACAGGTATATAAAATAATTATAATGTTAAAAAAAAATTTCTCTAGACACCACAATGCCACGTTTTCTATGAACGATGGAATAAAATCAGTGATTGATGTTTATGTTTACGTCTGAAATTTATCAACATATAAAGCATTACTATTGATCATCGAATTAAATATTCGTAACAATTAGAGTGCAATTAAAGTTGATCTACAATTTTGCCATTGCTCAATAAGTTTTTCTCTTTGTTCTAAATGATGATCAGACAATGTTTTCGTCAACGAAATTTGATTTGGTTTAAGCTTTCGTGGATCAAGATTAGCACCGAATGTTTGAACACCTTTAGCAAATTTAGAAAATGGAGAAAGTATTTCTTTTGCAGTAGTTGCAACTGGACTAGCAACATTTGTAATATTTGTTTTTATAGATTTGATTGCTGATTCACTTTGTGATGATTTAATATTATTTTTCGTTAAATCATGTTCAGAATTAGAACGTTTTGTATCTCGTGGTGTATCAACAGACATATAATTATTTGTCATACTTTTGTCATCTACTTCACTAGATGAGTGACTAATATTTTTAATGAGATTTAAAGTAGATGGTGGTTGTATTTTTTCTTTTTCAGGTTTTTCATCCGTACCCATACTAACAGTAATTTCAGGATTCGGAATGTTTCCTACTTGAGATTCAGATGCTATGAAATTCAAGCAATCAATGGCCGAATTGTCACAATTATCTTCCGATGATTTGAGATTATTCTTAAAATTTTCATCAACAATATTATCTTGAATACCAAAGTGTATTGGAATACCGGCGATAGTATCACCATCATCATGAATATCACTTTGATCAAATGATTTTGACGTAGAATCGGGATCAAAAGTTCCCATCGTAAAAATTGCTTTCGTTGTATTCTCTTGTTCTTTAATATTAGATGATTTTTTTTCAGCATTACTTGATGACGATTTCTTATTGCTGAAGGTGTGACTTAACTTATTTAATTTATTAAACTGTTCTGACATATTACTTAATGCTTTGGTACCTGTAAATAAATTAACGCATATACTTTGTGTGTAAAAAAATATCGTAATTTTTTTTTATTACGATAATAAATTATTTTATTAAGAAAATACGTATATATTCGTATTATTATAAAATATTCATGAACTAAAAGATATTGACGAGAAATTATATATAAAATTCTCTTAAAATCTGTTTATTACGATTGCACACCTGCATTTTTTAGAGCATGAAGTTGTGTTTCAGAAACATTTCTCGTCAGTTTTGGAAACAAAGAAATATCTAAAAGACCAGTTGATCCTTTTGCTTTTACTTGTTTACTTGTTCTCTTGTCCAAAGCAACATTTGTAGCGATAGGAACTTTCGGTAAACCAGCTATCTCCAATGCTACTGCAAATTGTTCACAAATAGCTTTCATTGATTCTGAAATAAAATATTTATTATTAGTTAATATATTATTAATACTTTGAATCATTATATAGCAAAAGAAAAATTAATTCATCGTTTTACCTATAACTTCTTCTTCTGTTTTAATAACAACTGCCATATTATTAAAAAATCGTAAATTAGTACTTCGAAACATATGGAAATATCCATATTCACTACCCATCCGATAATTAATACGAATACAATAATGTTGTTTATTTTTGAAAATTAAAACTCCACCTTCCGGTTGGCCAAATTCAATCATTATAACATCTGATAAAAATACTCTCTGGTAATTAGTAACTTTATCTATTTGATCATCATAATCAGCAACATAATAACTATCTCTAGTTAGAATTAAAATTGTATCCATCTCAGTTTCATTCGGATCACCCGTTCTGAAAATTTTTAACGACTTAGTTGAACAATAACAGTTGGTTTTAAAATAAGTCATAAACTAAAAAAAAGTATTACGAACTCTGGATCTGCATCAATAAGACCCCAGCTTCCTAAAATGACTTCAGGATTGGGAATTAATAATTTCTTACAGTCTTCAATTAGTAATTTAACATGAACTGCAGTAGCGGCATTATCTTCTTCCTCCGTTTTTTCTTGAAATATTTCCGGACTGACCGATTTACCTAGCATCAAATCAATGCTTGCTTGTCTATAGACGTCTTTGAAGCGGTTGAGGTAATATCTGAAACAGTTATAAAAATAAATAGAATAGATTTATTTAATTAATTTAGATCTAAGAATTGAAATTAAGAAAAACCTTCCAATAAAAGCATTAAAAAAAAATGTTGGAATACCCACTAAACTGTAAAATAATTTTTAAATAATTAAAAACTTTTTAATAAAGCCAAACCAAATAAGAACCAACAAACCAACATAAGACCAACCTCACTATTTTACAAATAATTGTCGCGAATAGGAATTCGGGATGATTTGCAAGTTGTAGTTGTATATTTGGTGGTTTAGCGGGTATAAGCTCGAGACAGCAATGATCAATGATATCTAAATAGTGCAACCAATTATTATTAAATTTTTGAATGTCGATAGCGGAACCGAGCGTGATATCTATTGCCGCTTGACGTGTCTCATCCAAAAAGTGTTGTTGAATATATCTATAATAAAAGGACAATTGTCGACTCGAATATATGTATAGAATGATAGAGCATTCACATGTGTATTAATCAATAATTACTCATAATTATCTTGAAACTAACTTTGACCTCAATTCTAATGTTTTGAAATATGCTTTTCTATAGCAACAACTAATTTATTAATTAATTCATATTTATTTGATAAAATAAAAGAAGAAAAATGACCAGTAGTTTGTTTATTACAAAAAAAATAAAAAAATAAACTGAATGAGATATACATATAAAGCTTCCTTGATGTTAATAAGAGTCCAAGGTCAAAATTAAGCTCGAGATATATTTAGAGTCATCTACTCTATTTTGTTGAGAAATTGAGGGCTTAAAAAATGTAAAAAAAATACTGAAACATGAATAAAGAACAGACAATAGCTTAGAACATGAGATATGATTAAATTATTACCTATTGGCTGAATTAACTCCATCTTTCATGAGTCCAGTAATCTTTCTTTCGCCAGTTCTGGTATAATCCCCCTAGTAATTGATATAATGAATTGATAAAAAATTCTAATTTGCGATTAACAAATTAACTACCTTTAAAGCATTAGTACCCGCATACTGTTTACTTATGATATCACCATTATTTGCCCAAAGCAACTGAAATATCTGACGAATATTTGATGGTAATGTTCCATCAGGTGAAATTAATCCAAGCTTAGAAAACTGTGTTTCCATAACTAACTTTCCTAGAGCAGTTTGTACCACATTCGTTCGGTCTAAACAGTCTATACAATTGATACGAAACACACCCTTTTGCAAACAAATTGTACCTTCAGAATCACACCAACAATAACCCATTTCTGTTAAAACACTTGCCAAAGCATTTGCCAGAACAGAAACATTTTCAAAATGCATTCCTCGACTGTAAAATAATATATTTCTATTATTCAACATTATTTTTCACGTATAAAATTAAATCATGTTGTAAAAAATTACGATAATGATTTTTCAATGATCTATTTTATAATATTATAAGCATAATTATACCCATTGCAACATATATGATTGATCTATTAATACTTACCAATACTCGTGAAAATCAAATGTTGTATATGTAATATCCGGATGATTATACTTCATTACGTGATTAGTATAAGCATCCCAAACAATTTTTTCTTTCCCTGATTGTTCGATGAGATTTACAATACAAATCGGACCATAATGAGCCATTTCTTCTGTAAAATGCTTTTCAAACGCTTCTGCCGTTTCCGCTTCATCTATAAATAAGTATTGATTGCTTTTATATACAAAAAATATCCCCTTAAAATATAATACCACTGTAAAGTTATTATATGTTAATAAACCTTTATCGATGCGAGGTGGGGGTTTATATTTATACCCGGGTTGAGACCAGTAAACAGGAACACTCCCTCGAACTTGTACAAATGAAACCTGATGATCATGATACCAGACCAGCTGTTCAGTTTCAACGTAATTAGCACATTTTCCATCGTCATCTACTCCTCTTCGTTTGTATCTAATTTATGGGAATATATTATATATTTAGATTAATTATTGGTTCTTCTAGTTATGTAGATATGTTATGGATATGTATAATAAATATCAAAAGATAAAATGTAAATTACCGAGTGCCAGCTCGAAATCGACTTCGTCTAGAAATGATTGCAAGATTAAATATTTCATATTGTGATTGATTATCATATCCCCACTTCAACTTTACACTTTTCTATTTGAATGTATCCTTGAATAATTGGTAGAATCCAGAAATTAGCTTTTTCATTCTAGAATCGAATATATACATAAGTATTAATTAATAGAAAATGAATTATTAAAACATATGTAAATATTATAAGACTGATGTAAAAGTAAATATACAATTTCATAATCATATTAATGTTCTAAATATATTTACATTTAAATCAATGATTTCCTTTAGCATATGTCGATTCCAGAAGAATCTATTGTCTGCATTTTGCCATAAAGGTTTATTTAGATTTCTATCATCTTGCAATTTAGACTCTCTTTCTCTTTGTCTTTGTAAACTGTTTGTAATATCTCCAGTATGACAAAAAAAGAAAGAATCTGTTTCACTAAATATTTTATTTAGCTCTTCAAGAATCCTCTTCTCAAGCTTATCCTTATCTTTAGTAGTACTTCTTTTGATCACAGTAGACTTGACTTGTGAAGTGGCAAGAGCAGCGGCATGTTGAGTTGTATTTTTAATCGTATTTGTTGCACTTTTAATAGTACCCCAAGTTTTGGCAAAACCAGTTTTTTGCAGAATATCATTTGAACCTCCGCCGATTTTATTATTAATACCGCCATGTTTTTTACAAGGCAATAAACTAATTTCCGAATTTTCACTGCCTAATTGGAGAAATGCTACGGACTTTATTTTATAAACTGTATGACTGCCATAAAGTTCACCCACATTCGAAGCTTCTTTTATAAGCATGATTCTCGGTTCCATAAATGGTGTCTGATCAATTTTTCCAATAATTCCGTGAAACGTTCCAAGGCATTCTAAGTTATTGGCAGTTGCCCATTCCCAATCTAAATAGGTTTATTTATAAAGACGATGTAATACTTATGAAGCAGTAATAACTATATTATAAACAAAACTAAATATAATAAATACTGTAGCTAAAAATATTATTCAAACTAGCTTGAATTTGATATTTTTAGTTTAGTATCTGTTTAAAAATAATAGTTAAACTAATTATCATTATAATTAGTAGAAATTATAAATAATTACCAGGTCTTGCTGAAAATTCTCCAGTTACTTTATCACACCAAAGATTATGTCTTTCTTGAACAAAAATAAAATGTGTATCACATCGAAATAACTCCATTGTTGTCTGTGTCTTTGTTGTACTTAGTATTATTAAATGTATATGTAGAAAAATAAAAAATTTGTTCAGTTTTTGTAAATAATAAACAATTTGCGCGCTGTCATGATTAATTTTGTCGAAAAAATATATTTGTTTTATATTTATGTTTTTTTGTACAATTTGTGTATTTTTTATATAACGGATTATAAAATGTAACGTTTAATATTGGCTTTAAGATTTTTTTATGTCAGTATTGATAATTAATCATATCGTTTACTTGGAATGAGTGTTTGAGAAACAGAATAAAAAATTTGTATTTGTCTTTATTCTTCTTATGACATCTTATTAGATCAACTCAGCTGATAACTCTTAACTATTATCAATCCCAGATAGATTTTAAATGTCAGATGTCTCTTTAGATTTAATTAAAATCAAACAAAAACTGAAAAATGTTAAGTAACAACTGTAAAACACTTTGTTTCCGCCATGTTTGATTACTAGACAAGAAAACGATGACAATATAATTTTTTTCTCTTTCCTTCTTATGTATTCTAGAACCACCCAATCATGATTGTTTTATTTGACCTATTTGACCAATCATGAACTGCTATCTTGACTCGATAACTAATTCTTGCAAAGATTCCTATCTTACCAATTGTCGGTATGTTAGAAATGGAGCTGATTTACATTCCTGAAGTTGTTTTTCATCATTTTTTCACATACATTCAAAATAATACGCACACATACATGTACAACTCTAATAAAAACACAGGAAAAGGTTCAACGTAACACGTGTTGACTCACACTATACAGTTCATTTAAAGAGGTAGAAGCGTAATAATTTCGTCACAAAAACGGAGTGCTTACTTTATGTACGTAAATTTTTTTTTTTATTTTATTCAAGTCTCTAATATTGTTTCTATACAATTAATAATTATAAATCAATAACAATAATATTAAGATAGTTGTTTTGCATAATTTTTACGACATTTTGAATTGGAATATCGCCAGTGAGATGAAATACCAACGTGTCTTCATACTTCGACAATGAGCTGGCAAATTCGTTGCATCCATTGTAGCGATTATTGCAACTGTAATTTAATATTTTTTCTTATAAAAAGTGATCAAAATAATGTATGAATAATTTAAAAGATATTTTCTATAATTAAATTACGTAGAATTCCAGTGCTATATTTTTCTAACCTTCATTGATTTGTTTCATAACCTCATTATAAAAATAACATATTGTTATTGTTTATCTTTATTACAATATTATTATGATTTTTATCACCATCATTAATGAAATTATTTAAGATATTTTATCATGTATTACATAAGTTTTCATTATTTTTTGAGTTTTCAGGAGCTATCAGTAATAATTCGTATTTTATTTTCCAGATCAAAGCACCGTTAAAATATTGAATGTCCATATTGTGAATACTTTTGTTACATTAACGTCATAAAATTAACACGTTCTTCAGTTTTCAAAAAATTTAAAACAAAAGTAATAATAACAATCACGTATTTAAGCACTCCAAACATTAAAAGTGTCATAGACCTCTATGATTGCCACGGATATTGAGACAAACAAAATTTTACTTAATATAGAAATATTAACAAATTATAGTGACGATACTGAAATTATTGATAGAAATTTTAATCAAGGGTATCACGAAAAAAATGCGCAACGAAATTACTGCTGCTGTTCTATTTTTAGTACAGCTGATCGAAAAAAACGAAAAATTTAGTCCTGACCAACTGGATTGCTTTCGACGTCGTTTAATCGAGCTCCTTACTGAACGATTTAAAAATCATTGGTTTCCTGATAAGCCCTTTAAGGGTCAAGGATATCGTTGTATTCGTGTAAATGGCCATAGCCGTAAAGATGAGACTCTGGAAAGTGCAGCCAATGCTGCTGGTGTTAAATATGAAGATTTGTCATTACCTGTTGAATTGACACTATGGGTAGATCCACATGAAGTTTGTTGTCGTTTTGGAGAAAGCAAAGGTTCATATTGTACATTGGCATCATTTGAAGATGAAAAAAATTCTGTTTTTCACGATAGTACTGATTCTTCGGAAAAGGAAAATAAATCTGACGAGAGAGCTATAAAAATACAGGTAAGAATCATTATTTTATATGCAAAAAATTTTTTTTATCATAATAAAATAAAAATACTGAAAATAAGTTGCGAAAATAACTGAATAAGTAGCAGATAAATTATTTTTCTAAACTAAGTGTGTAAATGATTACTTTCTGATAACTTCAATCATTTATTTACGTTTTAATAATCTATTAGCCTATCATCTCATAAATAAAACAGCTATTGATTATTAACTGAAATAGTTATTGAAACTGAAAAGAAAGGTCACATCACATTTTTAATTAATTTTCCGTTAATCTGGAGTAACACTTATTGACTTCCTATGTTTTAATTATATTCAATAATTTTTTTTACATTAAAAAATGTCACGAATCAATATAACGATTGTATTATTATTTATTCAACACCTCATAACTTGTTTTTTTAATAAAAAATCTATGCTTTAATACTTTATTGATTCTCATTTGTTTTTCTGAAATAGATGTCTATCATTCGAATTAGACGACTTTCTCAGTTAAATATTATGTATGATAAATGTTCTAGATAAAAAAGTACCTTTTATTCAATATTTAATATTAATATTAATGTTAAAAGTATTCATGATGTTTAATTACTTTTATTTATGTGACGATAAATTGATTCATATTCATTAATTGATTGGTTTATTACAGAAGAATCCATCAACGACTAATATAGATCTACAACAAAAACCAAAGCCTTTGAGTTCTTCTAATCAGAATCATCAACAATCAAATAATGGAACAGGTAGACGCCGTCATCTAAATAGTCCTCGTCCTCACTTATCCAGAAATCGTTCATGGTTTAACCATTCATTTAATATGGGTTATGGTACTCATCCAATGAGTCAACCTTGGTACAACGTTATGCCTCCTCATCATTTTCTCAGTGGTCCTTCTCCTCCACCTTTCATTGGTCATCGAGGAAACAAGTGGGTACATCCTGCATCATATCCAACTGGACCATCTCGTTTCCATCATTGGTCTCCAAAAGCTGCTCTAAAGGTTTAAATCACGTGAGATATTATTTCTTTTATACAACTTGTTAAATTTAAATTCAGATAAAGAACCAAGATCATGTTTATTTAAATGAAAAATATAATAAGGTCAATCAAATAATTACTGAGCAGAATTTGGGATCAATTATCTTGTATGAGTGACCACATTCAATTGACAATTATGACGTACGATTTTTTCATTACGAAACGTTTGCTTTATTTCATTATTATATTATACAAAAATGATTTTATGAAAGTATAAAATATTTGTTACAGTCCGAATGCAACATTGCTTGTCAAACAATGATTTTGTTAAAAATTTATAACCGTCAATTATAGCTGGTGACTCAAGAAATATTCTATTTTATAGGAAACTTTATGAAGAAAAAATATATTAATAATTGATAATTAAAATTAAATATTAATGATGTAGGTAGTTTACTAAATTAATAAGCCATTCTGGGGTAGAAATCTGTTATATCTTATTTGTTTACAGTTAAAAACAAAAAATTATTTATTAATCAATATTATAGATAGAATGACATCAAATGTATTGATATACGTGTAATTCAAACAAAAATTTTCAACTAACACGAAATGACAAGAACGTAATTATCTACATCTTTTTGTATATTAATATCGTGAAAATTTATTAATGTTTAAGTGTGGAAATCAAATTGTTGTTGTGATAACGTAACAAAAATCTTATCTTGATAAACTGTCCTACTGACATCATAGGATGTAATTGATATATCAGCTTATTGATTGTCGAAAAAACTATAAAAAAAGTAACATAAAAAATTCAATTTTTCCAACTATTTAAATAAGTAACTAGAATGTTCTAGTCAAAATTTAGTAATGAATTAGTGAGATTTCTGTATCAAAATGATATAATTTTGTCAATTCAGTTAAAGGATTTTTTTTTATCTATTTATACTTAACAAATTTATTTATTTTAATTAAATAATTTTAGAAATCTATATTTTTTGTTATAAACTGTTAATTATTGTGATACAGAAATATCTGGATTATTTTTGTATTTATGTACATAGATGGTACATTTCTTTAAGAGATGTAAATAATACAAGTGGCTTTTTTTAATTGTGATTTAATGGATTTTATAATTAAATATTTCGAAGGATCCAAATTGAAATTAGAATTTATAAATTAATTTTTCTGCATAGTGCAATATAAACCTAAGAATTAACGAATTTCAGAATGATAATCGGGTCATTGTATATTTAATTTTTATTGAGATAAAATTATTCACACAATTATTACATGAATTAGTCATCGATATCTTAAGTATATCCAAATGTAAATAAATTGATTTTTAAAATTATAATTTTTGCTAACGAAATTTAATAAAAAAATTTTTATTCATAATAACTTTTCAATCAATGGTTGATATTATAATCTAAGATAATGTGCTGATAATGCCTTTGTATAGGACAGTTTTATTGACTTAATGTCTATTTTATCAATGATGAATTAAAAACGTTAACAAAAAGATTATATTATTGTTGGATTATTGATCAAAAAATATATATTAATGTAAGGAAGAAAATATAACAAATATAATAACAAAGCAAGATTGCATTCGGATATTTGCTTTCAATTTTATTTATATATTATTATACTATATTATATTATTTGCAAATGAATATATATAAATATTATAGACTTATATGATAAAAAGATATAATATGTATAATTTTTTGTGTGGGATAATGAGTTATTTTGCTAATATCAATTTATACACAGACATGGAACAATTATATTCATTTAGAATAACACATGCATTTTTTTGTAGTATTTGATTATTATTGATATGATCTTTTATACAGTCAAAAAATCTAATCAATCACAAATTATTAAATTGAATTATTATTTTTTTTTTTATTTTTGAGAATTATTTAGTCTTTAAGGCAAAAATTATTGTCAGATAAAATATATTTACATCTGACTATTATTAAATGTCATAAATGTGTATCGTATACGATCAAACAGCACAATGATTGTGACATTGATTAGTTGTGCAATTTTAGAAAAAAAAATATAAAGATTGTTTTATGCAAATTTCACTCAATTATTATACGAAAGATTAGTATGGTTAATTTCGTTCATGGTTATATTTTTGGAGTTATTACTCAGTAGCTTATCACAAATACTTATTGTCTCTTATATGTCCAATGATTCAATTTAAACATATTATTTTATTCGTATATTTTCATAAATTTTATTGGATTATTTAAATATGTTGAATTTATTACAATGTTGGTGCACATATAATATATATATCGTGTATTGTGGAGGATTTATTAACTTTACTCTTTACTGTTTTAATGAATAAATTGTTGTTTATTCGCAATATATTATCTAACATGAAAAATAATCTGAATTTATTAGTATCGATTTAATCAACGAAATAATGAATTTTCTACTGATAAACATTCAATGACGAATAACTTAAGGTATCATTAAAATAAGCTGCATTTTTAAAATTGTTTATTATATATCTTCTTTAGTAAAATTCATAAAAAAAAATAACTGATAAGTTTCATGGAATTGTGAACTTACAAATTGATATAATTTAGAAATTTGTATGAATTTATAAGACGAAATATTAATATTCAATTCAAAATATGTTATAATCATTGTTGTTACTACTACTTTAACTGCAATAAGAATTTATTAAATGATTACCACTGTATACACAAATGTTGTAGAGTTAATAAATAAATAGTTTTGCAAATTATATATGACTGTTTTATTTTTAACGCTATCGAGTTACACCAATATTGTTATTATTATAACTATTAAAATGCCCTATTATGTCAGTAATAAATAATTCGATTATCGAGTCACATTTGAAAATAAGAAATGAATATCAACGCAAAAATCATTATGTCGATAAATTGCCTTCAACCATCAATATAAATTTCAACCAGAGCAATGAGGATCCATAACAAAATATTTTAGAATGTTTCAATGGAATTCATTTGTTTAAAATTAAAATAGACAACATCATTATAGTACGTATTTTAATTTTTATTAAAATATATTTTTTTCTATCTCTTTTTCTTTAACAGTGTTTATTTAAATAAAATAAATAAAGTTTGTAACACAGATAAATTTATTTATTCACAAGTGTGAATCTAACCTATCTGAAACACTTTAATTTTTTTAGGATACAGTTTAATGGGCCTATCACCCATTCTCCGATACGTTTTGATCGGGATTCCAGTTGGAGTAACATTTGTAGACACTGTTGGCTATGTTGCTCGAGTTGAAGGAGTATCTATGCAACCTGCATTAAATCCAGATAGTGATAAAACTGATTACGTCTTTCTAAATCGATGGATTGTTCGAAATTATAAAATACAACACGGTGATATTATTTCATTAACTTCACCAAAACGTCCTAATCAAACTCTAATTAAAAGAGTCATTGGTTTAGAAGGTGATGAAATTGGAACAATAGGCTACAAATTACCTTATCTGAGAGTAAGCAAATAAAATTGCTTTCTAAATAATGAAATACTTTTTATCTTGGTAAAAATTCCCCAATCATATTTAATTTATTAATGATATTTACACATAAATTGTTTAGGTTCCAGAAGGTCATTGTTGGGTAGAAGGTGACCATACGGGTCATTCAGTAGATTCCAATACTTTTGGTCCTGTATCACTTGGTTTGATAACAGCTAAAGCAACGTACATTATTTGGCCTCCAAGTAGATGGCAATGTTTAAATCCAGCCTTACCTAAAAACAGAAAACCGATACTAATTTCGAAACAAAAAGAAACTCACTGACTGTCAAAGTTTAATGTGATACAATGAGAGCAGTAAACTTTGTACATCGGCTACAATGGGAAGTACCTGGGAATATTTTTCGACATGGCATAGCTATAGGTGATGTTGATAATGATGGTGATAATGAATTAGTTGTTGGTACATCTGAAGGAGAGCTTTATATTTTTAAAGTAAAGATCTGGTCAGTTATATTTTTCCAATGATGATATTTCTTATTCGAGACAATAATAAATTTCATTTCTAGAACACTGAAATCTGGCATAAAACTACTGGACTAGGTTTGATTACTTGTGTTGCTATTGGAGATATCTTCAATTATGGTAGAAATGCTTTAGTAGCTGTTTGTGGTGATGGTTGGGTACATATTTATTACAGTCCTCGTTCAATGAATCCGAATGCAAATTCAACATTAAATTCATCAGCACTTAGTAGAGAATTAGAAAATCTCAATTTTAGTAAGTTTAATGAAATTTAATCTATCAATGACACATTATATACTTTATGAGACTCATGTTTATTATTTGTCCTAGGTGGAAATAGTTTTGATCCTTTTTCAACATCAAATGAAACTACAGATCAATTAACAAGTAAAATGGAGTGCGTTCATTTACAACGAATACCAACGAATACTAAATTTATTCTTATAGCTGATGTTGATCGTGATGGTGCCAACGAAATGATTATTGGATTAACTGATCGAGTTGTTAGATCTTATAGATGGTCTAGTAATGCTGATTTGGGAACTGGAAAACTTATTGGTTTAAATAAGTGGGAATGTGCTAATCAAATAGGCACTGTCACATTACAGGTAATTATATTTATTACAAATTTTTTATGATTGAGTTCTTGAAGAAAAAAAACAATTATTCAAATTTGTATGCAGCATATGAGTGATGGTACTCCAACTTTACTTGTAGCTCAACCAGGCGGAACTTTTATGAGAATCAAATGTAACCCGGATGACTGTGGTGCTAGAGATGATTCAGAAACTAGAAGTGAAACTGGAGCAAGTTGTGTGGATTATCAAACATTAGGAATATCACGAATGCGCAATCCAAATATTTCAACTGAAATAATAGGCAATTTAGAACCTGGTAAAACTAAATTTTCTGTAACTGATCAGTCGCCACCAAAATTTGTTCCTAAAGATAACAACACAAAAAAGCCAAAAGATGATAATAATCAAGTAAATTCTCCAAAATTTAAATCAGGATCTTTGGAATTTCATAGAAATTATTCACAATTAGATGTACGAAAAACAAGCTTAGATGAAAGTGCAGATGCAAGAAGAAATGTAGAAAGTCGTTTAGATGTTGATCAAGTTGATGGTAATATGCTTGGAGGAAATGTTATCTTGGGTGGATATGAAAGTACTCATACTAAAAAAACTGTCTTACCATCTTATGAGGATTTTTCTCGTAAAAAACAGCCTGATCAAGGAGAATCACAACCTGAATCAAAAACCGATGTCATTGATAATCCTCCAGAAAATAAAGTGACAGACAGCAAGCCATATGCTCTTGCAACTCTTGATGGTACAATAATGCTTGTAAAAGATGAAATAATTTTATGGTATGTATATATATATATATATATTATTTTATAAAATAAATATTGTTTAAATAATTCAAACTTATTTTTTAGGGCTATGCAAGTAGACCATTTAATTTTTGCCCTATCTCGTTTAGATGTGACTGGTGATGGGTCTGATGAAATAGTAGTATGTGCTTGGGATGGTCAAACTTATTTTCTAGATCAAGAGAGAAATAGTATAAGATTTCAGTTTGAAGAGCCAGTGAGATCTTTTTGTTCAGGGAAATACAGCTTGACACCAGGATCATCAACTCCTAGCCTTGTTTATGCTACCTTTACAAATAAGGTACAAAACTTATAGAATCTTATGAAGCGTATTTACAATACAATTGTATTTTTTTCTAAAACTGTTACAGATTTTTTTATATTATGACGTAGTGCTTCCAAGTATGGTAGCAACAAGCATAGATCCTTTAGATTCTTTAACTATTGAACAAAAAGAATTTATAAATAAATTAGTTGGAGAATGTACAGAGGCAGATAGGGACAAGAAACTTCAATTGCTCACAGAATACTTATTGTATAGTACTGACAAAAAGAGTAGCAATAAAAATTAAATTAAAATATTACACTTGTGTTATTACACATGAAAATTTTTTTAAGACGTAACTTTCTGATATATAAATAGAATTTTTAATAAAATTGTTATTCATCAAATCATTTATGAATATATACCAATAAATCTTTACTCAAGACTATTAAGTTTGCCGTTTTTAAAAATTGAAAATACATTTCAAAAATTATTGAAATATAATGAATAATTCATAAATTGGAGTCAAAGATTTAATGTTCAGTTGAAAAGTTTTATTTATTAAAAATATATATTTTTTTTTATTAAAAACAAGTAGTAGCAAAATTGCGGTTACTTTGAAAAAATGATAACATTATGAATTATAAAATAAGTTATAATAATTAAAAATATACCTTTATAAACATGAAAAAACTATTCTTACGTCAACAAAAGTTAAAAGATCTATGAGCTGGATCATAAAAAATATATATACAAACGATTATGAAGGAACCGGATTTAACGGATTAAACGTTCATATAATGTTACTCTCGAGTACTAACTCCTTCTTATCGTGATTCGTTTTTCTTCATCAAACATAAATCAGTATTTGTTTTGTTTATATATTTCCATCTGACTATTCCATACGCACGTGTAATGGACAAAATCACTAACAATAATCCTTATTATCTCAAAAATATAATAATTAAAGTTTTAAGAAATAAACAAGTTTTGTAATCTGATTAAAAAAAGTTATTTTAAGTAACATAGATATTTTCAGTTTAATTTATCAGACTGATCACAACGGAAATGGAGCATATTTGTCAACTGTATTGACACATGCCAGGTTGTAAATGGACATCAGCTGTAAATGGGAAATAGAGTCCATTAGAATTTTATGAGGGTGTCAAATTGACTAGATTACCTATTTATCTCATTTTAATATCTTAAATTCAACCGCTATCAACATTCGCATTGAATTAAAAGCAATATATTAATCGTCAATTCGTCACCTTCTATAAATTTTGAAAAATAAATTTACAGACTTATTTTTTAATCGTATGTCCATATATACATAGACAGCATCTTGTATAATGACTATTATTATTATTATCAAACTAAGAAGATCAAGAAGAGTGAAGTCGCCAAGTGACATCGAAGAAGAGTCGAAAAAGGATGTGCCACTCAAAAAGAAGTCCCCCTGTCGACCGCATTCCACGGGCCATTTTATTTTATTGGCTCGAAGGGTGTCAAATTTAACACGGCAACAAGGCCCACCTCTGTATATGTATACATCACTCACAGTAGGCTATGAAGCCCACTTTGGATACTAAGTTCTCTCTATCGTAAACTAAAAGAGAATAAGAAAACGACCAGGGCTAGTGCCTCTTTCATGGTATTGTCTAGTTGACATGACGGATTTTTGACAGATTCTGTCTGATTTGGTGTCGAGTGACAGCCTCATAGATCCTTGTGATTTTCCTAGATATCCTCGCGGTTGACGTCATGAGATACCCATCACTAAAACCTCCAAATAAAAACATGATAAGCCACTTTTTAGTTGTATATTTTAAAAATATTTTAAGTTCATTTTTTTAAATTATAATTTAATCATTCTACTTACTTACATAGATAAATCCTTAAATAATTTCCATCACCAAAGCATCAACAAAGAAGTTACTAGATGTTTTCACATTGTATTCAGCTCATCATAATGACAAAAAGATCATGGAATACATGGTTCCATTGAAAGTCTCATGTACCTCGCAATTCTATGTTTGGAAACGTGTCTACAGCCTATCCACGCTTTTTCTATATAAATAAAGTGGGTATCTCCAGGGGCGTTTAGTTGCATTCATTCTTCTCGTGCTCCACAAGATTTGTTGGTGGATTCTAAGGATCCTGCACCGAATAATAGTTGTCGCTGAAGGCAAGTCAGTTTTTTGACAACTCCAAAACATCCGGTGTACATCGCTAAAAAAGGAAAATGTCAGTTATCCAATATAATAGATATGAAATATCATACGTGAGATAAAAATGGAGATGGTTAACTTAGCTATCGATATAGACATGTTCATGTATTTGAGAGGTATTACAAAATCAAAATTTGAAGGAGAAAATTTAAGAACTTGTATTCATATATATTTGTAATATTAGTCCAATTATTTTGAGAGAGTGTTTATAGAAAATTTGTTATAAATTCAATTAATCATTTACCCAAAAAAAATAAAAAATCAACAAAGCATCGATTATATTTATTGAAGCGTTATGCTTTAAATTTTACTGTGATTGTTGTATATATTTGTGAAAAAAACATTTTCAATATTGTATGATCACATTTAGCATCAATCTATAATTACCGAATTCAGTTTTATCTCTAATAATAATTGAAAACTTCAAATTGAAATATTATTATCTTAGTTAAATTATAAAAAAAAATGTTCTTTTCTCAACAAATGAATCAAAGGTACTGAATGACATTGAAGTAATTGTTTACTTGCGATTGATGGTCTCCCCTTTTTCTCTTACTTTTTCTGCAGTTATGTTATGGGTCATATATTTTACAAAAGCACGGTCTGGGATACGGCTTATTGGCGACAATGCCGCGAACCCCATAGTCGCATAAAAGCGTATAATACTCCCCGCTAACGTGAAAATTATTCTGTCAAACATTCGGCCGTCGGATTAGCTCCCGTTGTGACTGGGGCAAAAGCACCCACTACATGACAAACGGACGTGCGCGCGACAACGATACATACAAGAACACAGCCTCTGTAACACCCTCTCGTTACCTCTCTTTCTTTCTCTCTTCCTCTCTTTCTTGTTCTCTTAGATGCTAGTTGTTATGATGGACATGAGCCAGATGTTTCTTCCGCAAACAGAGAAGAGTGGACTTGTAAAATTCTGCTGAAATATAGTAACATATTAGTATTGTAGAATTTTTCGAAAAAAAAATACGTTGAATTATTAATCTCTATATTAGCAATATTATTTTACCTGAAGAAATACATATGTTTACTTTAAAAACTGTCAACTTATTTTTTCAGAGCACAAAGTCAATTCTGTTTACTATAGTATATTATCACCATAATATATTCATTCATAATTCGTCATAGTTGCTGCAGCTTCTAGGCAAAGATAATATTGAAAAATACCATCAATAGCTTTATACAGCACAGTAGAAATAGATTTCTTATTTTGCTCTCTGAAAGTTAAATATAACAAATACAAACACAAACTCGTTCTTCAATAGTCTTGACAAAAGAGAAGAGTGCGTAGGAGCTGTAACAATTGCAACTTTGACTGTTTTGTTTTAAAATACAAATAAAAATAAATACTTATAATTTCATATATACTTACCACGGAAATATATATTTATTTATTAAAGCTATATGTAGTGCCTATTTGAAATAGTACATTAAAAGCAATATATGAGCATGAAGGGAGAACCAATAAAAAGGTGCTCACCCTCTTCTGCTCCTCTTTGCACATGACCTCCCTTCCTTTTGCACACAGTCGATCTTTCTTTCACTTTTTTTGCTTGTATATCGTCCCACCTCTGCTATAGAGTGCTCTTGTTGTTTCCCTCCTCGTTTCAATCTTGCAAAAAATTAGTACGACTCTCGAGTAAAGGGCGTCCTTTGACCACGCCCCAAATATTTTGAGTTACCCAATCGTCGTAGTGTCTGGTGGCCATTTTGGTCCATAGGGAGGCTGCGCCAAGGTTACCAGCATCTTCCTCCATCACTGTTCACTACTCACATTTCTACATCTCTTTCTCTCTTGCTTTTGGTCCAGACGTTATCCCTACTGCTGACACTCGCGTTTCCCGTTGTGCTTATCACCCGTTGGCGGTTTGATTCAAGAGAAGGGAGAGTACAGATCGCGCACAGCTCCCCAGCGACAGTGGCGCTCCTAACGGTGGTACCAAGAAACATTTATAGCCTGAGAGAGAAAGCCAACAGCAGAGATCTGTTCGCGACCGCGGTAAGGCGAGTTTCACGATTTCGGGCTGTAGCCTCTATTAAACCGTGTTCGTATACTCGCGGGATCGATTAAAATTAAACAACGGTTAAATTATACGTTTCATGCGATAAAGTATAGCTTACAACCTGTACTAATTGCCAGTAAGAAAGCTCATTAATTGAGTGGAAACAAACGCCCATTAAAAACGAAGTATCTATTAGACGCTACATAATTGTAAACAATAGATGAGAAATGAATAAATAATTCAACACGATTATGAAGAGATTTATCGATAAATAATTTATTGAATATATTTCAATTATTTGATTTATATGTATATTATACAACGTGTGAAATACTTCGTGAGTGATATAATTTTTTTACGTAAAAAATAAAAGATTAACGGCTAAAAAGGACCAATTGAAATTTCGAGAGGAGGTTAAGTGATATTATTGAAGGCTGAGGACTTATTTAGCAAGGATTCAAACCTTCAAAAAAGTAAGTTTCTTATCGATTATCATGTATATTGTGATTAGTATTGTCTTTTGACAAATTAATAGTTGAATCTTGATAAATCTTAAAATCTTTTTAGCTTTAATTGTAGATATTAAATTACTTTGCGTTGAAAATTTTGCTTCTTTATTAACTTCATCTTCTCACATTTTCTCTTTTGTTTTTATATTGTATTCTAATTCGAAGAATGTGAGTACATCACATTCTCATCATCTATTATGAGTTGTCTGTTTACATTTTATTCGACGAAATTTTCAAAACAGTACGAGTTATGGGCCATCTTACAATATGTGATCAACAGTTTGTCATGAAATATTACAATTAAGATTATTTTCAGATATAATCCACTGAACGAATTAAATATGCATTTAAATATTTTAAATGGTAAATTAAATTATTAATAATCTTGTTTACATGCTAAATAATATTATAAATTGCACAATATATTATTACTGTTACTATTAAAATAATCATTATTATGATACAACTTATAATAAAAATTAGATTATATTAGAAGATAAATTTCATTCTATTTTTAGACAAATAAATATTTATATAGATATAGTGCAGTTAGTATAGTATAATATAATTTTATTATGATAACGAGCATTAGTTGGAGCTTTATTTCAGTGAGTAGACTTCCCATTGATGTTCAGAAGCCTGATTATGCACTTGACGGTTAATTCTTTTATTTATTATTATTTAAAGAATAAAAGATTGTTAATATAAACATCATTTCCTGTAACAATATTCATGAGTTTAATAGCAAAGTTTTCATCATTAGTATCTTATTCATATTTTATTAAAAAATTATTGATCTTCTTGAATAAAATTTTGTGTAACTATAATTAAAATATACTCCAAAAATCTATGCAACAATTATTTATCTCATAGTCAATTTTCAATGGTCATTTTCTTCAATTTATGATCTTTTTTTCATAAAATTGATCTCAGTGCACTATACTTAATGCCATGTCATTGTCACTAATCATCACTTTTAATGTATCATTTATTTCACAGTTTCATTCAACATATTTTTAACTATGAAATTTATCATCATGCAGACACTTTCTTTTTTGTTAATAAAAGAAAATTATATGCATTTACATTTCTATAGAATTTTTAACGAGAAAATATTTTATTTGATTGATTAATAATCAGAAATTAAAATGAATTATTTGTTTATGTTATTTTGTATGATACAATTATTAAAAAAAAAAGCGTGTCATGATCAATTTATATTGAATTCAAAATGAATGATCGAATTGGCATATGGTTAGGAGGAGTCTTATAAACAGATAAATTTTTCGATAGCCGACGGGAGATGATCTCGAATAAACTACTCTGAATTATATGTACAGCCGTATACAATGCATTTTGAGAAATGTCCCGCAGAGCTAGACATGAAGACGTCACTCAAGAATGGGAACGGTATACCAGTGATGGGGTCAAGCCCAAAGTTAGTATACCTGACTGATGCTGTGCAGTATATACAGAGTGAGGTGCAGTTTCGAACTAAAATACAACTGCTTCACCTTCTCATATGAAATGCATTTCTTTCTTTGTGTCATGTTACACTGGATATTTTTTACAAATAAAATTATTTGATTGTTAAATTTATAGGTCTTCTTAAATATTTTCCTGCGATTATATGAATTGAATTTAACTAAAAGGCAGATACTTTTACTTCTAAAATTATATTGAATTCAATTTAATAGAGAGAAGTAATGAAATAGTAAATCAGAGCATTTAACTTTCTCGATCATGAATAATCTTAAAAGAATTTAAAAAGTATGCTTTCTTTTGGTTGTTTTTTTTTTTGGCAAAAGAATAGTTTAACTTACCATTAGCTTTTTAATCGGATAATAAGTTATAGCTTATAATGTTTTGCTTGGAAAATAAAACCAGACAATTATTTATCTAAGTAAATAAGTTGAAGAAAAGAAAACAAAAATTATTTATAAATATATCAATTAATAATTAACTTATCTAATATAAAAAATTATAAATATTCTTTTTGAAGTTGGTCGCTACTATCAGTTATCATTTATAAAGCTCTTATGTTCAATATGTTACATTATTAATGTGATTAAGAGGCTATTTGTTATCAATTAGTAAATGATAACTCGACTTTAGTTAACACTATTTTACATCAATATACAACTTGTTAATCAATTAATTTATTCATTTATTGAAATATTAAAATATCGTCTATTAAATTAGAATTATTACTCTGAAAATATGTAGCTTTACTAAAAAGTATATCAGTGACAAGATTGATCATTTTGGATTTTAAGATGTTTAAAAAAACTATTAATTAATTAATTAATTTTTAATAATTCGCAACAAATTTTTATTCTTTAAATTCAGCTCAAGTGAATGTCATCAAAATGAAGATATTTCTAATTCTAAAGATCATGAGTCTTTAGATAGATCTTTAGAGTCTGCAAACTCTTGAATCAACAAAGATGAGTTCTTCTAACACAAGCTTTTTTTTGAGTGTTGACTTATATTTTCATCTATACATAGTCTCTCAACTACTTGAGGTTCACATGTCCAAATCATAACAAAAACAAATCTCTTCAACCATAAGTCAATAATTGTTGACGCACGATTTGTCTAAAAGAGTTTAAAGAATGATTTCTTCATTGAACTGAGCTTACAATAAGTTTATATTTTCTGCATCTTGTATTCATGATTTAAAAATAATAGACCCGCATTGGTCCTGAGTCTCTTCTTCCGGCAATTTGTAAATATATCTAGGACCTAAACGTTGGGACAAATGTTGGTACAAGAAATAGGTGAAAGCTGCTGTTTTTCTCTTGGTCAAGATGATGACTAGATGATAAGTCACCCCATAGTGTGAATTGCCACAGTGTGAATTGAAACATTCATGTAAACTGACATGCTTGTAGGAAAAGTACTCAAGTTCTTTTTCTTTCAAGTTATTTAGGTAAGGATTTCACTTTGACCATAACAGAGACCCCCCAGGTTTAAGTAATAATCACTTTTCATTGTTATGTTGGAAAACAGGCTTTCCTTCGATGTTGAGAGACCGACTTAAGCGTCTCTGCTCATTGAGAAGAAGAAGCAAGTTGTGAACAGTTTGGTGTTACCTACCCAATTAGCGATTCTAAAAATTCCCCAGGGGTTCTAGTAACTTGCAAACGTGTAGAATCCTACAAGATGCACACCTGGACCGGAGATATATTTTTTCAACGAAACTACTAAAATATCTACAAGTAATTAAGACACACATTTGTACTATCAAACACGTTTCTTTATTTGTGTTATACATAAATTATAGGCATTATTTGAATACCTACACGTCCGCATATTTGAGGGAAATATGTATATCGGTAGGGATCTTTTGGTGTATCAAAATATTCTTCCAATATTTCTAGACATTTGGGCGTCTTCATGGGCATTCCACAATTTTTAAAATGACCAATATCATCTGGTGTGTGTATGTATATTATCTACACATAGTTGGAGAATTATGTAGAGATAGGTAGAGTGAGAGGTAAAAATGATACTCTTTTCGATCATTTCGTTTCGTGGGTGTTTCTTTTTCGTATCTCACTGCAGGTGTAAAGGACCCGCGGCGGCACCCAAAACTCCCAGTAGGGTCGGCATATTTTATCCATTGTCGCACCTCACCTCTGACGGCGGCACTTTTCAACTTTTTATAGAGATTTTTATACTGTTGTATCTATGCCACTCTTTCCCATTTGCTTGCTCTTCTTCTCTCTCTTTTACTCTTCATTATCTGTCCTTGTTGCTTGTTTGCTACCTATGTAGATTCTCGACTGGCATGTCCGCCGTTGCCAACGTTGAGCTTGAATATGAATATAATAATGAGAACGGGTTTCCACCATCATCTTCGTCGACGCGTCTCGCACTCTTCTCTCTCGCATCTCGATCGCCATGCAGGGATTATTCATTCGAAAGATATATCGCGTATTCCTATCTTTTGGACATTATCGCTCGTGCCGATCGCGATTCCATCATAAGTAGAAGCGTGCCTATGTCTAATCCAGCTGGACTACACATCTTTCTCTCTGTATATTAATACCATTTTTGTCTCAATTATCACGAAAATTATTCAATACTAATATCGATCTATGATTTTTATCTTTACTCTCAACATTTATTTTCTATCTAAAAATTCTGATATTCAAGTTAGCTTTCAAATTACTCATAATTTTATCTTTGTCAGCTGTTACGTTTTTTTTTTTTTATCAAGTCACGCCTTGATCATGTCTTTTTAGTTTGTTTGTACTGTGCCGAATATTTTATTTCACAATCAGCATTGATCTTTTTCCAAAATTAAATGTCTGTTTAATATACAAATTATTATTTTTTTATTTTTAATAATTTTTATTGTAATGTATTTTATGTATGAAGTATTGTGAGCTAAATATGTTCTAGAAACTGGATTCATAATATTTATTGAGCTCAGTAGAATAAAAATTCAAAATTAATCAATGAAAATTAATTTATTCATCAATTACTTTAATAATAAAGGGATTGTTTGGGGAAGAAATAATGATACTGTTATAAACACAATATAAGTTTTATATTGTAGGAAGTTATTATAATAATTGTTATTTACAGTTCAACTTCATGTAATAATTTATAGAAGCAATTAACGTTTATTAACTGGCAATTTTTTTCTTCTCTACAATTTTTCGTTATGTAAAATATGTACATATATTATACAAATGAAATTTAGCGATGCATTTTAATAACAGACCCACTTGGATTTTTATACTTGGTATTTTATTTTATGAAGACGAAAAAAAATTAATTCGTAGGGAATATTCTATAATTATTGATTATTTAAATGATGTCGTAATAATTAATTAATGGTTGTCATAAATTAAAAACACCATAATCATATTAAATCCTTCAATAACCTCTAAATAATAATTTTTAATTTATAAATAAATTTTTTCAACTATTTTCACTCTTTATTCACTCAA